AGCTGTAACCAGAATCCGTACATCAGTAGCATGAAGGTTTCTTAAAAGCATATGCCACAAGGTGATGAAAGGAAACTGCTTCCCTTACTGCTATTACTGCTACTGTAAATACAGTCAGCAAAACTGTCACCCAGCAAACCAGTTAATTTAGAGAAATCAGAAAGTGAAGATCTATTGTTAGGTTTAGGAGGAAAGAAGTCACCTGTGCATGAGGCTGCAGTAGCATTCGGCACCACATCACCTTGTATGCTAACACATCCTAAGTACAGCTGGCCCACTAATTACAGGAAAAAGAATAGCCCTGCTGTGCTTGGTGAAACCTGGAGAACATCTGTACCTCAGGAGAGCACCTCATGATCTTTGCAAGAGAAATGGCCTGTCTTTGCTTTTTGAAAGACTGGATGCATCTCGGGTCCTATAAAACTTTGTACAGATCTTAGCAGGCCATACACAGTGTCTCCTGAGTATCACATTTCCTGGCAAAATTGCATTCCAGAGGCATGGAATTTGAGAAATTCTAGTACTCCAGAGGCTTCAGGTCTGATCATCAGGTAACATCACAGCACAGACTTAGTGGTGTTAAAAGATTCAGTGCATGTAAGGCACCTCTGTAGAGACTTGTCCCTGATCTCTGAAAGTTTTGAAACAGCAGGACTGTACACATGACCTACAGGCAGCTGGTGCAGGCAGCACAGCATCACAATTTCAAAGATGAGTTCACCTTCCCACGAACCCTCACTTGCAGAGACCACCAAGATGCAAGGGACTGCTACAGGTTCTGTGGATAGGACTGGTGATGCATCTCACTGTATTTTTATGTCAGATAGATAGACTCGGTTCCGTTAGAAGGTTGTCATAATGCTTATCAGGTTATTGTACAAAGAAGGGGATGGATTGGTCAAGGTAACATTTATGGATTAAAAATGCAGGTGGTATTTTTTCTATCTAGCTTGAAAACAAATTTGTCCCTTCTTACAGTCGTGATTTGTTCATGCATCACCTTTGGTTTGAATTACTATAATGTTCTGAGTTTGAAGGAGGCTCCAGCACCATCATAATGGAAGCCGTCGAAATTTAACCTTTCCACTGGCTCTACAAAGCTGCACTGAACAAGCCAACCTTTACCACCAATCTTGAAGGCTGCAGCGACTCAGAACTCTTCTACAATAAGCACAGTAACTTACTTTATAGATCACCAGGCAATGTGTATTCCTGAGATCTGAGTGACAAAGTCACAAAGACAAATCTGATGATCCAACAGTCTGTTACTTTCTTTGTAGTGCCTCAACTGTTGATTCTCTGGAGGTCAGCTCAGGCTGGAGGCTAGCCATGTGCAGCTAGACAAAGAGTGGCTGCTGCCATCTGAAAATGGTCTGCAAGCCTGCAGAGTCTCTCATTTTTGTGAGAGCCACAGAATTTTGGTTTGGAGACAGTGGGTTAATTGTGGCTGTTGTTGCTAGCTGGGGGGCTCTACTCAGTGCCAACAGGGCAGATGCAACAGAACTGACAACTCTGTGTAAGGGCTGGCAGTGTGTGTGGGACTGTTCATACTAGGCCATCCCACTGTATTTATGCTTCCAGTTGAAGTTCTGCTTCTTAAGAGCTGGTTTTGCAGAGTGCAGTATTAGAGCTGAAGTAGCTAGGGAGGCTTTGTTAAAGGCAAACCCCAGGTTTCTATCTGGAATTTAGAAAGCAAAGAGCCCTTCAGGAAGGGATGGAGGGAGGACACACCTCAACATTTCCAACTTTTGTTTATGCTAGTTTGGAGGCATGGCTGCATACTCATTGTCCATGGCATGAGGGATGTGACTGGCTTTCCTGCAGACAGAAAATCAGAGGAAGGAGGTGCGTGTGCTGCAGAAAGGCTATACCAGATGTAAGAGATGACAGCTTTGTGTTAACAGCAGCTATGTCTTAACAGCAGCATTACAAACCGAAACGTCAGGAACTTTTATAACACCCCTGGACTATGAGATGAGGAGACCTCATTTTCCACATAAGGGGGTCCTCCTTTTTGTCCTGTTTCACTAGAAAGGTGTGGCAGCTCTACACTGATATAAACTGGGAAGAAGCAGGGGCTTTATGCTGTGGTAAAGGGAATTCTCAAGACATACGATATCCATCCAGAAATCAACTGCCTGAAATGCCTGCCATTTCAACAGCAGGATGAAAAAGTCTGATGAAGGCCTGCCTGGATGTATTATGCTAGATGTGTGCAAGACCTGAAACCTCCGACCAATAGTGCAAAGATGCTCCTGCAGCATTTCTTGTCCATCCTAACCTACAGGTCTTCAAGTATAATGAAGGAACAGAGCAAAGTTTCTAAAGACAGATATCTACTTGACTAAATAATCTTTTGCATCCAGGTAGTTACTGTAAGCTATGTCTCAGGACAAAGCCATCTTGGAGCAGCATTTCTGAGAGGAAATTAAGGGAGAATCCAAGCATCTACAAGAGACAAGACATTGTTACAAATGTCACGTATCTCTGAAGAGGTTTGATCATAACTTTAAAATTCATTCCTTCAAGAGGCCCAACATACTTTCTACAGAGTTAAGGCCTCTTTAACTTGAGTGGGGCCAACTGTTTAAGGAATAGCCTGTGAAGTCATGCTCTTGGGAAAATATTTTCAAGGTACATGCTGATAGAAAATACTTCTAGTTCATATACAATTATGAGTGTTTAGGAAAAAAAGTAATAATCCTGTGGTAGAAGTGGAGATGGAAGAAGAATGGCCTAAAGGCTGTATATCTAGTAATAACTTTATCAGAGCAAGGATATGGATCCACAGTGGAAAACTGTTCCCTGGCGCCACCTTGGCCTGTATCAGCTAGGGAATGCCCAGGGACAGTTTGAGGAATCTACAAACAGAGAAAAGGGTCTCTAGTTTCAGTGTGTTGAGTACCTCAGGATACTGACACCATGTACTCTATTCATATTCATGGCTGGATGGCTCGCATCAGCCACTTTAAATTGGTTTCTAATGGATCAGAAGAGATAGCTGTTAGTACCCAAAGCCTGCCTGGCAGGGAAAGGCTTACTGTGGAAAATGGCCGTTTCTCCTTGAGCTGGTTGCCTTCAGTGAAACAAGAAAAAACCACAGTAGCAAAGTGCTGTTGGCATGATAGGGACAACGTTACACATTGCAAAATGTCAGTGAAAAGGCAGTACCCTCAAGGCTCCAGAGAGGCTGTCTGAGGAGAAGCCAGAAGGCTGCATTTCATACACCTCAGGAAGGCATACTGTACAGAACTGGAGAGCTGGAGAAACAGCTGATAATCTCCCAGATTTTTAGACAACGTGCTGTAAATACAGTTCAGAAAATCGTTTAAACAGTCCATGCATCTGTGGAGGGACACAGCACCAAACAAAACTGCAGAAACGTGAACAGCCAAACATGCACCAGGAAGCAGCAGAGTGATGCTGGCCCAGAGGTCCACACGTGCCAGCAGCAGGCATGTGTTGGTTCCCATCCTTATGTATGGAGTCAAACACACCACTCAACTGATCGCTGCAGATCTCAAGATCTGGGGGTAAATTAAATACTTTCTTACTAGTGATTATCACATTCAAATATGCACAAGCAGCACTATGGCTCTGGGGACTGCAGAACAGTTAAGAACAGGTTAAACTCACTAGGAAGGTGGGAATCCACAGAAAGATTTTGTTAAACCTCACTAGGTCTCTACCTCTCTGGAAACGCTGTATCAGCTTCTATAAAGTCAATGTACTCCAATGACTCCCTGTGATTCTCAGTTGAGAGACTAGTTGGGGAGAATGAACCAGGCCTTTAAAAAAACCAAACACTGTGTAGACAGAACCAGACAATGGGACAGATGGTTCCCCCGTCTTCTATTTACAAAACAGTCCTACAGCGGTCAAGTAAGTTGTTGAATGTGGTCTGGTCTTGTGGCTGCCAACTTTCATTAAGGAGATGTGGGAGGAACAAATCCCCATAGAAGTCCTAAACTTGCAGAGAACTCCCAACAGGAAATTTCTACTGTTTGCAAGAGAGGCAGCCTAATAATACAAGTATATTCAGAAATGTTATCCAGAGAGAGGAGGTAAAACAGGTAATAGATTCTTGGTCCTTTGTAAGGGCTGTTTGCAGCAAGCAGGTGACTTGAACTTTTCGGTGAGGTAAGAAAGATGAAGGTCTTCCAAACAAAGAACAAGAAAGACTGGGTCATACTTTCTGAATCAGGCAAAACACATCTGATGAAGCACAGGCTGTGTTTACAAAGCCCTGGGGCAGGCAGGAACCCGGTGGAAAGAGCAGAGGCCCAACAACAAATCAAGCTGCAGAGTTAGGTCACTTTTTCTGGAATTCTGGGAGGCAATTCCAGTTAGGTCTGAAACTGGGATCACAGGCTGCATTGGGCACATGGCACCACAGGGCCCCAAAGGATCATAGTGGATCTCAAAGCACATGAACAGGAAAGAAAGGGGATTTTGGCACAAGGAGAATGCTAATGGCCTGATACACTGCCCTGGTACAAATAACACTTCTACAGAAAACCAGGGAAAACTGACATGATAGACAGTTCTGGAAGAGGAATTGTAATTCTATGGTTGTGACAAGGGTCCTAAAGAATTTTAAGGTGGAAATTTGATGCACCTGCTGTCAGATCTGGAGGGAAGGGAGGAGGAAGGAAAGCAAAAGGCCTTTTAAAATGTAAGAAATATTTAGGTGAAATGTAGACAATCTGAAGACCCAAGAAAATCCTTCACAAGATGAAACTCCATCTCCACACATCATTACAGCTGACTGCATGGCACACAAACCACAGCAAGCTTGTAAACTGCAGTACTGGTTTTCAGAGAAATGTCTTTGAACATAGCTATCATGGCTAAGCTGGAAACCAGGTCACATGGAAAATGAAGCAGAAGAGGGAGATGAAGTGAAGAAGGCAACAGCAACATCAGAGGCCAAGAGCAGCTGTCATGGGGAGATTACTACTCCCTGTAGTAGTACTACTCCCTGACAAAAGTGGGCAAAGTCACATTGAAATGAGTGGCAAAATTTCACTCCGTATCACTGTCAGTCCCTTAGCAAAACTTATATTATCCAGCTTGTTCTCAGTTCCTACACAGAACAAAAAGGTTATGTTGAGCCACAGTGTTCCCTCTGGCTTCCCTCCAGACCTATTTGTCAACAGTTTGAATGGAAAACCAAACTTGCTTTGCAGCAAGTTCCCTGCACATAAGAGTATATGTTCAACATCATGTTCCACTTTTGCAGCTACAAAAGACCCAGTTACACATATGCACACATAGCTACAGAACTGGGAAGGACTTATCCTCTGCTGTTCCCATGTACAAATAATGCTGCTTCCCAGACATAAAATGAAAAGCAGCACTCACTATGTGAGAAACATTGAAGGTACACATGCTAGCTGAGACACTGGGGTTTGTCCCTGTTTTGTGATTTTGAATGTACTAGTAATATAGTCATTTGCCCAAATAAAGTCATTTGCAGAGGTAATCTGACCCTGCACATTGTCCCCAGAAGAGTTTGTAAAGATACCTGGTATTCAGAGCCAGCTGGGACATACCTACATTAAACAAACAAACAGAAAGCTGCTTTCTGAAACCATCTTGAAACCACCTTTATAAATCGGAAATAATTCCTCAGCATGAGTGAATTTCCAGAAAGCCAGCAGAAATCAAACTGGCACCTAGCCAGAACATATAAAAGAGCAGAAAAAAGGGAAGTGTTTGTTCAGGAGAAACCAAATGATGCTAGCCCATCACAGTATGAGCTCTGGAAAGATGTCATATTTGTCATAACTGGGAAGAACACTAAAAATACAGGTCCAGATCATCCTCTGCTAGCAAAGCAGCGTGAGGTGCCTCTGGATGAGGCATGTAAGGTTGTAAGCTCATCACACTGCTCTACTGATACAGAAGAAGGGGCAGGACTGCCCTTCTGCATAGAATCATGTCAGGCTTCATATGCCTCCACACCAATTTGTTGCTTTAGCTGTGCTCATACAACCTGAGCACACATGTTCATGTATTTAGAAGACCTCTATATAAACACACTCGAGTGAAAAAACGTTCCAGCTGAAGAAGCACATACCTGCGCTTGTAGATCCAATTCCTGCAGTAAGCACAGAGCGTGGCATGATCTTTACTGCATACTTGAGAAACTGAGATTTCCCTGTACCTGGGTCTCCAACCAACAAAAGATGCGATTCACCTTGGGGGAAAATGTTGATGTAGGAGTAGACAGTTTATATACCAAGAAAGATATACACAAAATGCTCAGAATTAATTAATAATTTTAATTGTTCACCTAACATTTAGCACTACATATACATTACAATATGTAATCCTGTTTAAAACTGCACTATTTATTGGGTGTGATAAATATATTGTTTAATAAAAGGATGTCATCATATTGCTGTATCCAAACCAAGTATTTACAATGAAATATTTGATATACTTCTGTAATGTCAGTTCTTACATGTTAGAGTACACATTTCTCATACTCAACTCACTCTTGAACATGAAACAAAAGGATACCAGGTTTTAGTTGTCATTCCACTATTCAGATACTTGAACGATTGCAAAAAGAAGTAATAAAACCAGCAGGTTGTTTTTCTTAACAGATTCTGTTACATTGCCAACTCTTACAGAACTCAGTAATTTCAAAACAATGAAATCACAGAAGTAAGTAATTTGGCTACACTGAAGTGCTCTAAATTTATTTCACTGTCTGCTACAAAATATTAGTACAACTTCATATATAAAGTCTATAACTTTATTTAGCTGCTGGAGCATTCAGAAAATCCTGTATTTGTATATACTGACATACTATTTTAGAATTATTATGACCTACATAGATTACAACCTGCATACCACCTGGCACATGGCATATTTGCCATCTAATAACAACAGCAGGAGAATCAGCAGGCAGATAACTCAGAGTAACAGAACTAAGTGAGATGTGCTGACAATCACAGATGGAAAAGTCTGGCATTAGGAAGCCAAACAAATCCTTTAATTTTTCCTTTCAATATACTATAGTGATCCACATCAAGGAAACATTAATATTCTATCCTTTGGTGCCAAATACTGCTGATAATATTCTACTAGAAATCATTTCAAAACGTTACTTATACAATAAAAAGTAAGTTTATGTTTTATCTAAAACAACTACCTTTAATATTCTGCTTAATGGAATCCTAAATGCCTGCTTTTAGTTGGGAAAAAATAAAATAAAAAAGGGAAGTCCAGACACTCACTTGATTTCTCTGAGATTCTGGAGAATACTCAGCATTAATCAAAAATTGCTCTCACTCAAGTAAATGGGATGATCATGCTCCAAATCCCACTGGTTTGATTTGGTGGGGGGGAGGTATGTGGGTGAAGACAGTGATGGAAACAACTGTTAGAAAGGATGTGATACTGTTGGAAACAATACTAACCTCTGATACGAGTTCCAGTAGCATCGGTCCTCTGCACACCACCAGCAAGCACCATGGCTACAGCCAGCTTCACCAGGTACAATCCAAAAACTTGAGGACATAAGCTAGCCAAAATTTCATTCCTCCCTAGAACAGAAACAAAAAATGGCACTCAGCACTGTCCTAACTGTAAAACTCGGTTTCTCCTATGTACGTTTGAAATCCTCTGTGCACAAGTAACTGTCCTATGTCCCCAGCCCTATGTACAGCCAGAAATAATTTGGGTCTGCTTCCTGAACAAGAGCAACAAGGAAGGGGGGAGAGGGGGAGATTTTTACTTTTTGTTTTTGTGAATGGGCCCAAAGCAGTTGTTAGATCCAAACTTCCTCCATTAAATTGGAGTTAAGCCTTCCACAGCCACAAGCAGCAAAGCCAATCCTAGCACAATTTAAGGAATGTATGGTCTAAATATCATGAAAAAAGGTACTAACAAAATGCCATCATGCAAATTCTGTTGTTTCACAGATCAGGTGTAGGGGCTATAAAGAATAAAATGTAAAAGTTTCCGACTTAAAAGTATCTCCTTGAATATAAGCGTGTGATACATTTAAGAAAACTAAGAAACCTTCTAACACTTGCAGAGCTTTGCGCTAAACCTGTGCACCCATAGGTGCACTCATTTTCTCATCATCATCTTGAAACTCCTTCTCCTTTGACTCTACTGTATCAAATGTCCCTTCTTCCCACCCTACTACTGTCTCTTCCCAGCAACACAATATTTCAATCTGCTACCATAATGATATTGGCTTGGAAAGTCTGTGGCAGAATTAGTTCTGTCCTTGGAGATTTTGACACTAACAGCACATTAAGGGATCACCGGTTTAATGCCATACATTACTCTCATTGCTAGGGAATTAAACAGAGCAACCGCTTTTGAGCTGTTAACTTCACGTTTTAAATTTAGATGCAAGTACATGGTCCTGGCAAAATATGTAGGCATCTAATAGATGATCTGAGGCATATGTGTTTATTGTGGAGATATTCTGAAGGAACTAACATCTTTGTCCAAAAATGAATTTAAAAAACTTTGGTCAGCCACAGGATAACTCGAGATTTAACTCCACAGTTGCCTCTGTTTTACTTCAGATTCATTTGCCTTGTCATTGCTGAGCAGCTCATCTGCTTCTTTCTAGATAGCACGCAGAAAAAATAGTCACCTGCATAAATCCTTTCAGAGGCCTGCCAGAGAAGTCTTTTTCAGGACATCAAATACACAGCATCATGAACTATTGACATAAAATGCAGTAGTAGCTACCATTATCTCTTGAAAAACAGTAAATATACACACATCCTGTTGTGAAATGGCCTATACCTTAGACTTCTTAGTCAAATTTGATCTCTCTCTCAGTTTCAATATAAATTCAGACAAACGGCCTGAAACAGACATCTTGGCCAGTCAGAGTCTTTCCATTTCCACCTCAATTTTCTGGTAGCCACTTCATATTAATTTATTTATTCTGAACAGGTAATATTGCCTAGAACCACATTGCTCCCTGCAGGCTTCCAAAAATTGTCTTGAGAATAGAGGATTAAATAGGACCTTAAACCATGACAGACCTTCAAAGAGGATCCTGACTTACCTTCTGAGCTGTTCCAACCAGGGTGATAAGTAATGTTCTCGTTCCAAAGTGCAGGAAGAAGAAATGTTCTTGTTCCAAACAGCAGGAGGCTAGCAATTAAATTGCTTTCCAGGAAATTAAACTGCATTTCCAGGAAATGCATTTCTGAAGAATCTTTGTCGTTGACAACATCTCCAATATCTAATTTTTCAGCCGACATGGGGAACATTCCCACTTAATTTTCCTCCTTTCTGTCTTTTAAGAAGGAAGACTAAGCCCTTTTCAGGGTTTTAAAAGAGAGTGTTAGCCTGAAACAGATTAGTGGCAGAAATCCTAGGGTCCATTGAACTTCCATGCAGTTCAGGAGGAGGCACACAGATTATGGAGAGGGACAGAGTTCCAGGCACAATTCCTACTAATTCCTGGATGTGTGGCTGCAGAATATGGTAAACTTAGGAGCTGGCACACTAAACACACTGGCTGTTCTGGAAGCCATTGTGAATTGGGAGACTCTCTCCAAATTTGATAGGAGGCTCTGCAGCACCTTAGTCAAAGGTCTAGGCATCCAAGAGGTAGGTTAAAGACAAGATGTGCTAAGCTCTCTGGTGAAGATTCACAGCTTAATTTGGGATGCAGAGACAGTGAGTCAGATCTCTTGCCCCAGAGTCAACAGCTATGCTGACTAAAAGCAGATCTGGTCCACACTATTTCTTCTAAAAGGCATGCTGCTTATTTCTTGATTAAAAATGCTTTTCTTTTTTTTCCTGATCAATATATTATTTGTCATTTCTTGTTAATAAATGTTCCACAACACACCTGACTCTAGAAGCCTCAAAAGATGGAAGAACAATGCAGTGTGTTTTGTACTTTTTTCCCAGTAATATTAAAGAAAGAATTTCATATTCCCATACTGGAAAAAATGTACTACTGAATGAAAGAGTGGTGGGATAGGATAATGGGGGGAAAATGAGTTTAGTTACTGTATTTTCACTCCTGATTTCATCTCTATCTGATCATGTGTCCTATTTAAAAGCTTTCAACTACTAACCTGCAAAGGGATCATTCCTATGCCTTTCCCAGAAGTTTTCAAATTCCTTGCGGACTTCTTCATCGATTACAACCCCTGCCAGCTGCTCGTTGTTTACTTTAACATAGTTGGCTTTCAAAACAAGCTCCAAGTCACAGCGTGCACCCTCATGGAAAGGTTTCCACCTCTGCATTACCACTCCGTACACTGTGATGTCATCTCCTGGAAGTAGCAACAGAAATTAGTAAACTAACAAACACCTGACTTGAGGTATACAGATGTATCAGCTGTACTGCCCAACAATGCAATTGAGATCCTCTTGTTACAGTTAATAAGGTTAAAAGAAAAAAAAAATCAAGAAAAAGCAAACCTGCAGTTACTGCAAGTCTGAAACATTAGGCAGCTTGCTTGTGTCTAGGAAGTTGCTATGTCTTTCTACTGTTTAAGGGAGGTGAATACTTAAAGGTATAGCTCTGCTCTTTTCCTTTTTTAGAAGAGAGGAATTCATGGTAAGCTGTAGAAGCAATTCTTTCAATAGGATTTACTATAAAAAAATTTTAATCAAAACTTATTTGACTTCTGGTAACTTTTGTGATGAATTCCAGAATCACCCATTAACATTGTGGCCACAGTGTTCTGAGAAAGTACAACCAGAAATTAATATCTTGTGGGGATGTGCCTATCTGAGAGGTTTGTGTCACTTTTTCATACATCCCCTGCCAGTTAGCTTCCTTTCTGAATACCAAGTAGCTTTCTCCCCCTGTACCACTCCTTAGATAGGAGGTCAGGCTACCTAGCTCTCCAACCCACAGAGGCACACCATACGCTGTGTGATGATGTGAACCAATCTCCTCAAGAGGTTTGGTGTTCCAACTCTAACAAGATTTAATATACTTTCTGTGTATCACAACACATTACTTGGCTGTTCAGCCTGCAGAAGAGAAGGCTGCGTGGAGACCTCAGAGCAGCCTTCCAGTATCTGAAGGGGGCCTACAAGGATGCTGGGGAGGGACTCTTCATTAGGGACTGTAGTGGTAGGAAAAGGGGCAATGGCTTCAAACTTAAACAGGGGAAGTTTAGATTAGATATAAGGAAGAAGTTCTTTACCATGAGGGTGGTGAGGCACTGGAAGAAGAATTTTTTTACGAGTGTGGTGAAACACTGGAACTGGTTGCCCCAAGAGGTGGCAGATGTCCCATCCCTGGAAGCATCCAAGGTCAGGCTGGATGGAGCTGTGAGCTGTCTGATGTAGCTGAAGATATCGTGGCTCATTTCAGGGGAGTTGGAAATAGATGATCTTTAAGGTCCTTTTCAAACCAAACTGTTCTGTAAATGGGTTGCCCAAGGAAGGTGAGAATGCTCCATCCCTGGCAGTGTTCAAGGCCAGGTTGGACAGAGCCTTGGCGACATGGTTTAGTGCAAGGTGTTCGTGCTTATGGCAGGGGTGTTGGAACTAGATGATCTTAAGGTCCTTTCCAACCCAAACCATTCTATGATTCTATGATTACTTACTGAAACTGATCTGTCTAACAGTCAAGATGTAACACTGGGATGTATGACATTTGCTGTAGTACTATACAACTGCCATGCTAACATCCAAGCTGAAACAGCAATGTGAGATGAACACAGCTCATTCAAGAAGCCCTCAGCACTAACAGCCTACTTGGCAAAGATTCATGTCAAATGGAAAAATAAAAATGCTTATGGTACAAACATATGTGATATATGCTGTATCCTCACCAGATTTGCAACTGTCCACTAGGTCATCTTCTAGAACAACTACCATACAACGAGGGATGCTTCCAACAGACAGTCTTTGAACCTAGGAGATAGAGGGAAAAGCACTTCTTAAGAACAGCACCTTGCAAAAGCCATTTATAGCTGCTCTGGCTTCAGGACCTACATTCCTTTCATGGAACTGAGGTCAAGTCTTGTTTGTTCTCATAAAACATACACAGTATGCACAGTATACATGCCACTGCTGCCATGAACTTACTGACGGAAGTTTAATGCTCATGTTAATGAAAACAGGATCGAGCACTAAATTAGCTGAAGGGGCTTAAACCTGGGAGGTGCTGTGTGATTTCAACATCTTGCTGAAGAAAGCTAAACAAAGTAATTTGAAAGACCTGTGGGGGCTTTTTCCCAATAATTTGAGATATTTTTAGGTACCTGTTCAATATGCAAAGTTTACTTTGGGTACTGAAGCATGTCCATGGGTTAGATAACCCTTCACTGAAGGATTTACTGAAAGATTATTCTCTACATTTTTCTGGTGCTTAACCATAATTTGACAGGTTGAGAAGTAATTTTATACCTGGGTGTCAAGGATTAAATCAACAGGAAAGGAAAATCACACACAACCAGAAAAACGTATATTGACAAATGTGCCAGTAAGTCCTGTAATTCCCTTTCTTTTCTCCAGGGCAAAATCTATACAGTCTTGTCACTGTCTATTTCCAGCTAGCAATCTTTCCATTTACACTTAAAGGCTGCAATAGTTTTTAGAATATCCACTGCACAATTACAACAATAAGAAGTACCTTTTCATGCTGCAGCACAGGTCATACATGCTAGAATTCTAGATTTATTCACTCCCTAGTGCCTAGGAAGGTTAATTCCCCCTTGTGTATTATCTAAATGGCCACAGGCAGTTCACATCACTGTCAGTACTGGTGGCATATACACAGTTACTTGCAGAGCTCAGTAAGAGACACAAGTGAAATTCATTCCTGGTTTAACTTTACTGTGCTTAATAAGCCCACGCTGCTGAAAATCCTTCCCATCCTAGAGATCTGTGTGTCACACAGTAAACCAAAAAAGAAACATTCTAGAAACTGTATGTCAGAAAAAAAATCACTGTATGAACATGTAACATGGGGCTTTTTTCCTAGAAAGAGTTTTATTCCCTTATTTTTTTTGCTATTCTAAACTTTCAAGAGCTTAATTTCTAATTTCATACATTTCTGTTTTCACACATACATTGCATGTAGATTGGCACCACTATCCTCTCAATTTATAAAATTAAAACCCTGAAACAACTCATGATATCTTAGAAAAGGTTTATGAAAAAGAAACTGAACATATTAAAACCAGAAACACTGCCTGCAATATACCCTACTTATTCTCAATATTCATATAGTGGAGATTCTCCTGTGCCAGTTTTATCTTACTTATGCATTACTGAAAAAAGGCCCAATTGTTCCTTACTCCTCCAGCTTAGTTGTATTTTTGCCCAGGGCTACTTTCAGAAAATCAAATGCAAATTCTGTAAGGTTCACATGTTCAGTAATTGTTGAATTTAATATTGGCTGAAGGGAACAGACATTTGCAGACACCGTGTATTGACCACACGGCACCACTGCTGGCCTTGGCTACCACTGGGCTAGCTTTAGTCCTTAGAAGCAGCATTGAACGTCAGCATCATATACCAAATGCTTAGAGAAACAATGCATACTTGGTGTTGTAAGGATTTGACGTGGAAACTTCATCTAGGCACTGACCCCGGGTGTTTCATACAGTATTGAATGGACTTACCTAATAGAGCAAGTCTAGTTAACATGTGCCTAATTTTTTAACTCTCTGACTGACTGGAGATCTCTGACCAGCAGGCTGTCCGGCTTCTCTCCGTTTTCTTGGGCATTTGTTTTAAACAGCACCTGTAACACTTCTACTTATCTTAGCATGTAAAACTTACCAATGGAAATGGGATAAACTTAGTTCTGATGTAAGCATCAACAGTATCACTAAAATAATGACTCATCTTATTCCAGCAGGAAATTAAGCCCTCAAATGCCTTCCTCAGTTAATTCTCTTTGTACTTGGCACACTTACAACTTAATACCCTCCTCTTTTTTCCACCTTTTTTTTTTTTTTCACCTGTTCCTGAATTTTGATTTCTTGATAGTCTCTGCAGCAAGTTGGAGAAGAGGTTGTTCCGGAGAGACAAGTGAACTTGGTTGAGTTGCAGCCTTCTTCATTAAGACAGGCTGATGGACGACAGAATGTGTAGTACTGCTCAAAGTCAGCCTTGACGGCAAACACATGCTTGCACTTATTGCAGATGTAACTCCGTTCAAACTCCAAAACTTTCACCAAACTGGTCCGTATGACAGTCCCAGTAACAGATAAAAAGTGACCCACATCCCTGGCTTTAGGAATGTGCTCTCGAGTCAGCTCTGGGCAAACAGGCAAACCTGTTAGATAAAAATGAGTGCAGCGTAAGGCTATGCTTATAAAACATGGAGTTACAATGCAGTTAAACAGAAAGACTAGAAGAAATGCCAGACATTAACAGTAGACATTGTTATTACCGTTTCATAAATGTGATTCAACAATTCATCTGTTGTACCATAAATCTGATTCACTGGCCCCAGTTAGTGAAAATCATCAGGCATTGAGCACTAACAGAAAATGTTGCCACTTTACTCTCCTACTCTTGCCAAGGGCTGAATAGTCATGAACAGTTTCCATTCATGGAAAGAGATCCTGATGTTCTCAGATTTATTAATTAATATAAATGATATTTAGACAAATGGCATTTGTTCTGCAACTGATTTATCTGAATTGCAACATTTTATTTATGCTGCTTAATTGTGGTTCCATGTTATTTCCACAGTTACACAAGTTTAACTCCTGATCTTGTGTGAATTCTCAAGTCTAAGCAAATTTAAAATTCCTAGTGTGTGAGAATCTGACCTTACATCATAGAATCATAGAATGGTTTGGGTTGGAAGGGACCTTGCATCCCAGTAAACCTCAAGCACAAGGAAGATGGCACAAAAAGAATATAAAGAGGTTATGAATGCAACAAAAGCAAATTCACTTGTACGATCAAATGAACAGTGACAGAACACTTTCCACTTGCTCTCCTTTAATTCCACCCCAGCAGTCAGCTCTGTGGTGGACCCATCCCGCTCCAGCATTCACCTGTGTGGCCACTGCAGCAACTGAAATCCTCAGGAAGGTTCATCCACCTCAACGGCCTACAAAGTCTTTATGAAAATAAATGGTGTCTGAAATGCATGCCTGAGGACAGCATCAAAATATTGCCTCTTCAGAAGTTAGCATATGAGCTACAAGATACTAAAGATTATCAACTTAAAAAGATATTGCCTGCTCTTAAAATAATTTCTTAGCTTTACTTCCAAAATGATGTTTCTAAGGGGACCAAAACTATTTGTCCATTTAAGTCAAATCTTCTCAGCAGTCTTGGCTGTTAAAAAAAGGACAACATGCAATTATTTCAGTGTTTTCAAAACCAAATGCTTTATAAAGGTGGTGAGGCACTGGAACAGGCTGCCCAAAGTGGTAAATGCCCTGGCAGTGTTCAAGGCCAGGTTAGACAGAGCCTTGGGCAACATGGTTTAGTGCGAGGTGTCCCTGCCCATGGCAGGGGGGTTGGAACTATATGATCTTAAGGTCCTTTCCAACCCAAACCATTCTATGATTCTTTATGATTCTATTCTATGTGATTTCAGGCATGCTGAAACATTCTGGTTTGATGCTTTTAAGCGAAGTGTCTGACCTTTTGCTTTTTTTTTTTTTTAAAGAAAATACTTTAAAATATTAAGCTAATTTTAAAAGATAAAAGAATAAAGTAAAAAAAGAAAACAGAAAAGCAGAAAGGAATTAAATATTCTGGAAAAGAAATAAAGTATTATGTAGAACTGCAAACAAATTTTTCTGGTTGACTGTAGCAAAGCTCTTTACATATTTTTACCAAACCTGCTGAAAATTCTTTTTCTCCCACAGGTTTGCATTCAGACAAAAAAAAAAAAAAGAAAAAAGACAAAATGCATTATTTTTCCAGCTGTTTTCCCTAGCTCAGTATTGGTGCAGCTCAACAACCTTTGCAAAATACATCTCACACTAGAGAGAGCTGCAGCACTGTTGTTGGGACATAGGTTATGATCATCTCCATGACTACTGAAGAGACCAGAGTCCGGATGGGAAACAAAGAGCCTTCATTCTGGTCATATTAGATTGTTCGACAAATTCTTCAACTGAGTATGTGCCTCTTTGAATTAGCTTTACTGTATTAATAATCACAAATAACTATTAGAAGCAGCTTGGCCATCAATAACAGACACAGCAGTGCTCAGGCTAACAGTGAGTAAGGAAAAATCCCGTAATAGATTTGTGGCAAACGGGAAATTATACAGTCAAATTCCTACAATGCTAATTCAGGCAAAGAACTTCATCTTCTACTTTCTTCTGCAAACCCGAGGTAATCATCCATTACTAATCACTGCATATTCAGACTCCTCAAATCCTTCCTCGAACTCCTAGGTGCCCTGTCCATATTGGCATGAGCATGCTCAGAATCCACTCTTATACCTAGCAAAGCAAAACCACTTTTCCTCACTTCAGTCCACGCCTGAAACACAGATCCCCTCAGCCCCACTCCAGGTCATTGCCTGCTGCTCCCACTGATAAAAGTGCATCACATTCTCCTGATTCCTGTTGGATGTGGGAGCGGGAAACAGTGCTCCAAGATGAGAATCCTGAACGTAATCAGAACCCAGCATCCACTTAAAAGATAATAGGTAGCGTGAGAAAATTTGGGCATAAAAAAAGCCTACAGATCATTCACCTTACTGCTTTTGTTTCTCCAGCAGCCAGCCTTCCAGTGGTACAGAACATAAACCAAACTGCATGGACTGATGTTTTTTTGATCCAGCGGGACCACACAAGGATAACTACCCTCTGTTCTTCATCAGTTTCCCTCCAGTTTAGTGATGAAGTAATTTGTGAGTCTGCTGATTAACTTCTTTCATCAATCAATCACCAGTCAGACTTGTGCATTTGATCAAACATGGCTAATTTTGCCTGAGGTGGGTTAGGGAATATTCAGACAAAACATCACTCTGGGAGGAAGGGTCAGCTCCAGCAGCAGGTTGATAACAGGAGCAAGAATGTCTTAAAGACACCACTACTCATGCGGCAATCGTCTTCCCCTTGCTGTACTCCCTTCTAATACTCCTTGGTGGCTTATAAACTAATCATACTTTGAATAGAAATAACTCTGTTTTCATGTCGAAGCTCTGAATGCTGAAAATGTATCCTGGAACACTAGGGGGAAAGTTTTTTAATTCACTCCTACTTTTGTAGGTACAGGGAGATGTCCAACATTTCAAATTCTAGTACAAGATAGAGGCCATCCTTGCACACCACGTGCTCGGCAGTTTTGTACAAGCTCCTGTCATGGTTTAAGCCCAGCCGGCAACTTGGAACCACACAGCCGCTCGCTCACTCCCCCACCTCTTCCTTCCTCCCCCCGCTCCCGGAGGGATGGGGAGGAGAATCGAAGGAATGTAACTCCCACGGGTTGAGATAACAGCACTCCAGTAACTAAGGTATAATACAAACCACTACTGCTACCAATAATAATAAGAGGAATAACAAGTGAAAAGGACACAACCGCTCACCACCCGCTGACCGATACCCAGCCCGACCCGAGCAGCGATCTGGCCTTCCGGGTAACTCCCCCCAGTTTCTATACTGGGCATGACGTGCTGTGGTATGGAATAGCCCTTTGGCCAGTTTGGGTCAGGTGTCCTGCCTCTGCTTCCTCCTGGCTTCCCCTCCTCCCTGGCAGAGCATGAGCCTGAGAAAGTCCTTGGTCAGAGTAAACATTACTTAGCAACAACTAAAAACATCGGTGTTATCAGCATTGTTCCCAGACTGAAAGTCAAAACCACAGCACTGCCCCAGCTACTAAGAAGGAGAAAAAATGACTGCTGTAGCTGAACCCAGGACAGCTCCTTAACACCTGAATTGGTATTTTTTTTTGTCCCTAAAAACCTGGAGAAGATAGCACTATGAGAGATGGAGGGTACTTAAATTTCTGATGTATGTGTTTTAGTGACAATATTTTAAATAAAACTTACTTGGATGAAACACAGGCCTATTTAACAACTCTGATTCATCCAAGTTCAAGCTGTCAAGAGACTGAATGATCATAAACCATTCTAACACAGGGCAAAGGAAGTAAACACAAGTTGCCAGCTCTTGGCTTTGCAGACTATTGCTTCAACCAGAAGGGTCACTGCTGCCACCAGTTCCTCAAAACAGGCAAACCGAATATCCTGCCAGAACCTGCACCCCACACTTACCATACCTCAAAGCAACTAAAGATTTCCTAATAATAAAGAATAATGGATTATCAACTTAATAGTGAAACTTACTATCAACCTAGTACTGAAAAAGAAGGCAAAATCCTCTAATAAAGATCATGCCTTTCAACAGTTCATGCCAATTTTATAAGACGTTATATTTGAACAATTAGTTAAGCATAAAATTTGACAATTTCAGATGGAATTGTTATAAGACACTCAGAATCTAGACTTTGCTTCTTCTGGGAGATGGCTAGAGCCAGTAAGGACCATGAACCAAGTGACACGGTAAAGAAGTCAACCTGCAGGAAGATCAATGAACTACATATTTTTCACTAAAGCTTCTTTTTCTTTAGACCTTGTGGCTAG